TAACTAATTCTTTTTTTGAAAATAGGCATCCCAAGAAATATAATTTGGCAGAAAAAATTCTTTGGGAAACAGGAACGAACGGAATCGTGTAAAACGGCAGTGGTGATATAAACGGGCTTTAGAGATAGCGTCCCACTATGAAGAAGCAGCGATATGTTTGCAGGCGAATATAAAAAGCGCCAAATTTCCACCCCATTTACTTCTCTAGGCCTATACAAATAGCGAAGAACTCGAGCATGCTATTAAAAAAAACAACTCAATAAATTAAAGAAATCTGAAGAAGGAAAACTACAATGAAACTGCATTGTGCATGCGGCATATGAAATTAGTAGTTAACATAGAGTAATTTTCCATAGCTATGTGATAATAAGCTAAGCCCGGCCAGGCCATGTACTTTAAACCCGGGGCCTACCCTTTGATAACAGACTTGCGCGCTGACATGCAATTTTATCCGGTAAAAGTCGCGTGCACATGCGCAGTTAAACGTCGCTGAGAAGATGCAAGCAATTTGTTAGGAGGCTTGCGGGGCGTCTAGCCATGCCACAACCGCTTGTCAACGATTATTTCCCCTGATAAGAGTTATAGGCGCATAGAGAATCGCGCCGCCCTGTTTAACGCATTTCGCCCTTGCCGAGAGTAGTTGACCTTGGAAGCAAACAAACAGCCCCTGAAAACGAAAGTTGTAACCACAAAATAGGAATCAGGTAAATAAAATGTCGTCGTATGTGATGGAAATCAGTCTAAAAGTATGGTGTGAGAAAGGAATCTCGACCGCCAAAAGTAAAATATCCTTCGCAGTGTTCCAACAATACTCATGACCAGCGATAATGACAGACGGGAGTAAAAGAAGCTCATCTGTTGCATTACGTAAGGATACTGGAACAACAGTTGCATAGATCTCGATACACCCACATGTTTGTGGCCTGCCTACTTGTATTCGTGTCATTAATTATGACCTATGCATTACGGATGATGCTTCGTTGTAGGAAAAACCTAACTTTGAAATTTTCCTGAAATCTACTGTCATTTTATGTCAAATTTCAAGTCGCGCCTCATTCAAATATACCCCCACCATACTTTTTTCAAGTCACTGTTCTCGTTTGAAACAAATCAACATCGTGCGTGTTCGTTCGTTGGCACTCTGTCATGTGCAAGGTCCTCTTTCTGAGGAATGAGAAGGTGCGTTTCGGATTCTCTGAACTCATCGACTTCCTTATCGCGCTTTTTACATTTAACCTAATGTAAATTGTAAAACTCGCGTAAATATACTTCAACGAACGCAAAGATCGCGACAATTTATCAAGCGAAACCTGCTACTGCATAACAGACTGACAAATAAGGAGGTTACCGTTAGTTGAGTCCCCACAGAAAAGTAAGGAAAAACAGAAAGCTCAGTGTATGCAGATGGACCCATGAACCTAATTACCTATAACACAATATAGAAAAGAAAATGACAGATGTTTACTCAAAATGAAGTGTGTGCTAATCGCTGGACTTTGGATTACTAAGAGGCCGTAAGGTTAAATACGGCGCCTATTTGTTTCTACAGGGCAGGTTTATTCTCCCCTATACAGCCTGCCTCCAATTAATGTGGTCCACAATTGAAAACTATCTAGAAAGTATTTAGAAGAACGAGTGGATTCCATTATTTGGTAAACGCTCATCGATTGATTATGGGCCTCATGCCTTGAGGCACACTCTCAAGTACGGTCAGCAGCCACATATCGGATTTTATTTTCCTGCTTTAAAAGAAATTTAGGCAAGTGCTGAAATGAAGTGGTAGTTGGTTGCTTTTACTGCTTTTTAAATTCACCAAAGTAAATTCATAGGTTGTGTGCAATGAACAATGGCCTTTATGTTTCGCATTCATTTTATTTCGACACTCAACTAGCTGTATGCTACCTTTCGTGGCGAGGAGTTGTAGTGGCTAAGCTTTCGGAAAATCTGTTGTTACCAATAACGTATGCTCTGCATGTTGTTTCAACTCGCTATCAGGAAAGGATGCTTGGGCTGTTCACTGGTTTATCTGACTAGGTTGATTAAATGCGGATCACTGCATATCTGACACATTGCATGTACGGATGTGGACGGTTACATTAATTTGGAGTTACTATACTTCAGAGAGCTTACGTAGGTGCCAACTGCTAGTGCCTGGTCATACCTAAAGTAGAACGACCCAGCAAAAATAAACAAAATGGTTAGTTCAATTTCCAGTTGATTTGAAAGTCTATGACTGTAGACCTCAAGTCTGTTAAAAGAATGAATTCACGAACACAAAACTCGTCTGAAAGTAACGACTGCGAAGGTAATGCAAAACTGGTCTCTAGCAATTATAATAATGTATGTTTTCAGAATTGACTGCAGCACAATATTAATTTGGCTAAATGAAAAGTCATATTTCATACCTATGTCTCATCTAATCCAATAACTTTGCCTGTTTTGAAGTCTGAAAGCACTTTCCCCTGATTGTTTTTACCTTCCTATTTTGGCTTATGTGTCTTGCATTCCATTATGTCCTTTAAGGTTGCAATTTGTAGATTGCAATGAGAAGCAGCATAGACATAGTATGGTTTAAAATAGCAAAAAAGAATGCGTCTCTCTTAGAATTAACCAGCAAGTCGGACAGGTGACCAACGGTTGTCCGATGAACGCCGAGGTCATCTCAGAAGGGGAAGGTACATCAGATCTCTGATTATAGTTGTGGGAAATTAATCAAGAGTAAACGCTCTTGGTTTTATTACTTTATTACGAAGCTTATTTATTATAAAATTATGTTTTCACGCACAAGAAAAGTGACACTGATTTGACGGAGGTAAAGCTGTTACCATCATCAACTAGATGTAAATTGGCAAACCTTTCATAATAGAGCGTATTGAAAGGTACTGCGGCGAAAGGATAATTATCTTTACATCGTGTGGAAGATGTAAAACGGTTACGCTTTAGGGTGTCCTCCGGAAATCGAAGCGCAGAAATTAAAATATGAGCAAACTCATAAAGCCTTGCAAGTTTAGCCTTTACGATGGTTACTGTAAATTCTTTACACAATCTGCTTTCAGCGCTAAATTTTAACAGAAGTGAATGTGATAATTATTTACTACCTTTAGATGGACAGGCTATTTCAAAACCATACGTTAGAAACATTGTGTAAGTAAAAAGTTGAACTTATTGCAATATTTATATTTTTCACGTTTTAGTCGATATTGGCGGGCTGTGCAACGATAGGGATCTACTCTGCCGGTCAAAGAATGCGCGGTGCTTTCAGGCCAACATTCCCCCCACTTGCCAGTGCAAACTGAACCACATTCCCATATACCAGGAGAACTTAAAATATCACGAGTGCTGTAAGTTTTGGGTATATTTTTGACGTCTTTTAACGCGAATAATGGAGTTAAACAGGAAATATTGGAGCGTTTTCCAGAATGTTTGTAGACTGCTAATAGGCGTATTTAAGGAAACATCGCTCAGAAATATCGACAGAGGATGATCAACAATATGCTATTTTTAAAATGGTATGTTTTTTTCTTAATCATTGACGATTTCTTTTGAGGTTGCGTAATTAACCTTCGAATAAAACAGCCAATTGGCATATTGATTAGTTTTGGCGAGAAAGATAATGTTTCGTGGTGTTAGTGTTTGTAAATTTGAAAGTGGCTTTCTGGTTATTGGAATCCATCTGTGTACTCCGAACTTTTAGTAATTTACACTAAACTACATGACAAGACTCTCCACTATAATAACAAGAGCATAATCCAAATCCCGTAATGAAAAATGGGGACTCTATATAAATATACGTGGCTAATTTTCCAAATCAACAGGGTGGTCTGATAAGTAAAAAACCTAAACGTGACCAACGTATAATCGCATTCAATGGATTTTTTGAAGTTCTTCTGTGCACAAACGGTTTCCAAGTGTGACATTAGGCTACAGTACTTGCCCCTATTCTTCTTCCTCTTCCGGAGATTATGAACACTAT